TTGGAGTACAACAAAATGGAGCAGAGTTCAGTGGCCTCTCAATGCTTTTGTTTTAAAGTTAACATTTTTCTGAAGACCTTATGAAAGAGTTTAACAGCAGCTAAGTGGTTAAGTAAATGCGAAAAGCAAATTCAGCACAGAAATGGGTGTAAAAATGTTGTCAAATTGTGTCTTGAAAGCGCTGGAAATGATGGGTAATGCAAGAGTGCATTCAGCGTGAATAGCCTCTTACAGCTTCAGGTGTCACTGTGAGTCAGACGAGAGAAATGTCCCAGCAGTTCCCATGCTGTTATAATCACAGCTCCCAGCGAGTTTCTCCTCATCAGTTTCGGGACTGTGAAACACCACAGATTTTTGGAGGTTTCAGAAATGTGCTGAGAATGGCTCTGCAGTTACATATTCTTAAGAGTTTTAAAAATTTGGATAATAATAATAAAATAATGACACTAGCTAGTTATGAGTCGCTGTTGCTTAGTTGCTGCTGATTCAGTTTTCAGCATTACATTTTTTTCCCCACATTTTTTGCTTGCCATTTTTCCTGTTCCAGAAAGGGGAAAAGAAAACTTCCTTTGCTGTGCGTACGATACAAGCCACTCTGGCCACTATACACTCCCAATGGAGGAACATGTTGCCATTGGCTAAATCCCAGGAAGCTTAATGACCTGTCCAGGTCTTAGACTGGAACAGCACAGTGAGATTGATTCACAGATTTAGAAAAGGGATGAGAACGGTTTTCACACCATTCCTGCCTGCTCCACAGTCTCTGTTGCTGTCGGTAGACCTGCCATTTTCTAGAATCTATCTTGTATTGCGCATGCACTGTTAAATCTAATTTCAAATATAAGCTTATGGAAATCTGAGTTGCGTAATCAGTTACATAGTATTGGGTGATGGGTGTTGTGAAATATGAACTTTTAAAATCTGCAACTTAAGTCGCAACTGTCTCTATTCTGGACTTAACTTTTCAGCTACTTAAGGTCTTATTCTGAGGATCTTTCAGAGAGCTGCTATTCTTTTAAGAGTGCTATTCTGATCTTTATCAATGTCTGTACTTCTCAGGTCACATTTAGGCATGTCGCGATAGTCAATCAATCAATTAATCAATTGATTGAAAATCGCGATAATCAATTAATCGCTCAATTTTTTTTCGGACGTGATAATTTCCATTTGCATGCTTGTTTGTTTTCCTCATCTCTCTCTCTCTCTCTCTCTCTCTCTCTCTCTCTCTCTCTCTCTCTCTCTCTCTCTCTCTCTCTCTCTCTCTACCAAAGAGACTGGATGACAACCCTCAGTTCCTTAGCATGAAACTAGAAATATATAGAAATAAAACATATAATAGAACATATAACATATAATCACAGACATGTGTTGATTTTTTTGAACGCAATGGCCAATCAGAAGCATTTAAGATAGACTCCCCTCACCACTCAAAACAGACTTTTTGTTCAGTGTTCAACCTTTTTTAACATTATAAATGTCTTTACTGTCCCTTTTGATTAATACAATGCATCCTTGTGAATAAAAGTAACTTACCCCAAATTTTTTAACACTATGTAATTTCACATTATATAGACCACCTATACATATAAAATAGACACTTATTTCACGTTTATTGCTTAGATACTCAAAAAACTAAAGATTAAACCAGAAAATTTGCACCCTGATAAAGCAGTTGGTAAATTTGAGACTGGCAACAGGCAGGACCACTTCTGTCTTCTGTTAGTCATTATGCATTTATCACCTGCTTTTTATTCACAGCAGATTATTACGTCTTTAATAATAGTTTATTTGTAGCAACTTGGTGTAAAGTACCAGCTCAAGGGCACAAGGATTAAACAGCTGGATTGACATCACAGTGACTTTCTGAATCACTGTCTACTCAGTGTTGAACTTATAACCTGTGATATCTCATCTGTTCTTTTCTCTTGCAGAGTAGGCAGACATTTTTTTTTCTACTCTTTTTTTTTCCCCCATCCTTCTCCTCTGCAGTGCCACAAATATCAACCAGCCAGAAGCTTGCGCTGTGTGATCGTCAGCTCGTGCCTGAGATAAGATGGTCCTCCTCCCAGAAATGGAAGCAGGACACAGTTGTGTGTTTTGATGGCAGTGGCACGCAGGGCAGTATGGGAGCCAGATATCAGAAGCCCTGCTGCTCATTGCAAAGCCATTTTTGGATGTAATGACTCACTGATATGCTTCCTCCTACACCAACCTGTGGTTGAGCAGGGAGCGCCCCAATTCACAGCTATATTCAGCCAGATTTTTAATAGCAGTGGCAGAGCACCTCCACTTTTGCATCACCAGAGTGACTTCCGAACCTCCTTTTGGAGCTCAAATAGCACAAGACTGAAGTTTGTGTGTGTTTAGAAACTTAACACTTTAGAAACATTTTTAGTTTAATGTTGTCGAAGCATTACTCCCCCACATCTTATGTAAGCGATACAATTATCTTTACACCTCGACCAAATGCTTTCCTAGACTAACATTACAAACTTTGTTTGTAATTCATCAAATAGATTAACAATCCAGTCAACCTGCGAGACGAGCCCTGCCCCATTTTATTAGCCATTAATTAAAGCCATTAAAAAAAAAATGTGATAGCTGCACAATGAAACATCACATCTCTGTCCTTCTATTTTTTCCGCCACTCTAGTTGTTTTTCTTTTCATGCGATTCTCCGAAAGGCTGGAATTATATGGTGTGAGGCTGTTTGACAGCCTCTCCTGTTAATTACACCACATAGTTCTCTTTTTCTTTCTCATGCTGTTTTCACTCGCTCTCTTTCTCTCAGCTATTTTGGTCTTTTCCTCCTACAAACCCTGTGACTGTGTTGCTAGGGACTGTCAGTGGAAATGTGGATGTTTCTCTTTTAGAGGGAGCCACGGTTTGTCTGGTTGACATGCTTACAGTTGACGGCATGTACAGGGCCCTTGGGGCTGGTTGTGAGGAAAGCAGTGTTAATTTGTAATGCTGTTTTTGGGCCATTATTGTTTAGTGAAGGGTACTCCATTTCATTATTTAGGTGTGGATTATACTTTAGCTGCAACAACTAATCGATAAAATCGATCATTATAATCGAAAATGAAAATAATCAACAATAAATTTGATTATCGAAATTAGTCATGTCTGTGCGCTGTGCCCAGGAAAACATCAGCTAGTCATGTCGCTTTACAGTAGTGAATAACACATTTTTATTGCCAAAACGCATATGGAAAATGGAGGACAAAGATTGAGCTGCTCTGGGAAATGTACTTGATCCAAGTTAAAACATGAATGTTTTGATATTTATAAGCACTAAACTAAAGCATAAGTGTTTAGCACTGCTTGGCCTGTTGTTCTTTGACAGATGCGTGTGCTGTTTAATGCCTCTGACATGTGTTTTCCTCAGCCAATAACATTTTATGGTTATCCCTATCTGTAAATGTTAGAAAGTCCTACCAGAACTATCTAAATTTTGCATATTCCCGACAAGAAACGTTTTTTTACACTTCACATAGTTTAATGAACAAGCATCGGTGGGTGCATGCATGCACATCATATAGGCGGAGCGCAGTAGAATTAGAGCCCAATAATTCTGATTAATATACACATTTTGTTAAAATATTTTTGTTAGAAATTAAGGTAATTAATGTCAATATTACTTTGCTCAGAGTCAGACGAGTGAATTTGTTCCTCATACCTCGTTCAAGTTAAAGTTTGAGTTTTTGTTTATCATTTTTAATTTAGTAGTTTTAATTTCTGCTTAAAAATTGTAAGCAATCCATTGTTTATTTGATTAAGAATGTAGGTACTGTCTGTATTTGGACCCTTTTTTAAATATTGTACAGCGTAGCCTACATGGATATATTCACTATATTTGTTTTCATAAGCTTTATATGAAACATTTGGTGCTTTTCCACTGCCTGGTACGGCTCATTTTTTGGGGGGGTTTCCACGGTTGAGGTTTCAACAAGTGAGCCGTAGCGATACCAAAACGTGACTGCAGATCACTGATTGGTCAGTGTATCGTCACTACCAGCTTCATTGAAATTGCGGCACGAGACACCTAACCCGCTAGATTTGAATGGTCAGCAACAGCTACCGCAGTATCATTTGTTTACACAACTTTTTTAAAACTTTTTCAGTTGCTTATAAACATATTAATGGCACAGGTGAAATGACACTCTATCTAGCACAAACTCAAGCACAAACAGGGCTACCATAATATGTGAGCAACATGTTTATTTGACAAAAAGCTTTGTTTTTTTGTATTCACAAAAAATAGACACAACAGTAGGGTTGAGTATCGTTTGAATTTGAATGATTCTGATTCCGATTCCTGGTTTCGATTCTGGTTCCTAACGATTCTCGATTCCGATTCTTTTAAGAGGCAGGGTCAAAAAAGTTTAGCTAACCTTGCTAACTAACGGTCTTTCTGAAGGAAATACTCCTTTTGTCACAAATTTTGCATTTTGCCGAGATTTCGTTATTTTTAGTTATTTTTAGTGAAGCCACACTTTGGACCGCCGACGTAAGCTACTCATGTTCGACTCGCGCGGTTATGCCAACACTTCCGGTAGACGCTTCTTCGTTGGTGTTGTTCAGCGTTTTCTTCTTCTGCTCGGCGGACTGTGAATATCGAAACTAGGAATCGAAATTTTAACTTTTGAACGATTCCGGGAAAAACGAAAAGTTAGTCCCGGTTCTAATCGATACTCGATTCTCGATACCCAACCCTACACTGTAAAAAGAAAAGGTGCCTGGAGGAACCTTTTGGGGTTCTTCACTTTGCCACGCCGGCGGAACCGTCTGTAGATCCTCTAGGAACCCTTTAAAAAAAGGGACAGTTCTCTGAGGAACCACCCAGGTTTCCTGAGGAACTCTTATATTAGGCACTGCATGGAACCGCTTTGGGTGCTTCCAGGAACCAATTTTTATTTATTTATTTATTTATTATTATTATTTCATGTTGTTACTATGGTTAGCATTAACTTCTATTATTATAAACAAACTGAACCAAATACAAGGTAAGAATTGTTTATTAAATTTTAGATCCATTTTAATACATACACTTCCATGCACTCGGGAAAAGAAGCTAGTAATAGATTAATATCACTGAATAGAATACACAAACAAATAGTATAATACATACTGTAAGCAACATGAATAATCAACAATGTACAGTATATACAATAGGGTATACAAGAAAAGGGTATACATCTCAACAAAATGCATGGAAACACATCACATTAATAAAAAAAAAAAAAACAATTAAGTTAAGTTGTGTCAATGGACTTTTTTTGCCTGTGTAATTTCACAAATTTGACCGCACCTTTACTTGCTGAAACATAAAATGCAATCATTAATAAAATCTTAACAAGGGACATGTGAGGTTAACGAGTTAGAACAGTACAATTTTCCGTTTGTTTTTCCTCTTTACTGGTGGATGGTCCAGGCACTTCTATGATTTTCAGGTCTACAGGAGGATTATTTTTCTTGTTCAAACTTGTATTTCAGCTTACCGAGGTGCCTGCAAAGAACCAAAATTACTGTCAGCAGTGTTATTAAAGTGATAGTTGTGAACTGAAAATAATTTCCTTGTGACATTCCGAACCTGTTAGACTTTCTGTCGGTGGAACCCAAAAGCAGATCTCAGGCGTAATGCAACCCCAGTCATCATTCAGTTACACTGCAGGAGACAAGCAGAACAAAACTGTGTAAATCATTCATGAAACCATTCTTATGTACACTTGTTTAGTTCAATTCAATGCAACAATTTATGTAAAAATGCTTAAATATTGTGTTAATCTCCAAAAATGTCACAGAAAAGATCATAAAAATATGAAAAATTAAATTGAAAATTGGTCCACAACTCATGTGTTATGAGTTGTGTTGCAAGTCTTCTGAAGCCATATAATAGCCTTTGTTTTTTTGTCTAAAAAGACTACACTTCGATTTTTTTTTATATTCAAATGCAAATGATTAAAGGGGAAATGAAGCAGTGAATCAAGTTTAAATGATTTACAAGATGGATTTCCAATATAATCAACAATTATATAAGAAACATTACAAATGTAAACATTTAGAAGAAAAAAGGAAAAAACTTTGTATCTTTCGCCGCCAGGGTGCCGCCATTGTGCAGTTGACGTCATGGGGTTGGTTGGCTCAAGTTTAACAGGCTCTGGGCACTGAAAATCGCGACATCAAACTGTGTTTACACCAGTGTTTTGACCGCGAACGACTAATGTTAAGTACAGTCATTAGACAAAAAGACGACTTCTCATGTTATATGTTGACAAACTGCACATAGAAACATTGTTCGCGATGTTTGCCGTCAGATATTCCCGTCTCGTCAACATGTAAGTTAGCATGTAACGTTATTTGTTAAAGAGGAAATGAAACGTCCATATTTTCGCAGTGGTAGTGCTAGTAGCTACAGCCTACATACTAGGAAAAAGTGTCTCCGCTCTGACATCCTTCAGAAAAAAGCATCGCCGCTTCCACACGTCTACCTCCCGGCACAGCATGGTAAACGTGCGCGCCGGTGATGCAGAATTGACCACGCAATACATGCTCAAGATCAACCTCTTGACAACAGATGGACTCTGACACGGAGGGCATCGAAGTAACGCTACAACAGCCACACTGACACCTGGTTAGTTAGCGTTGCAAACCCGCTCTTCGCCCCAAACCACCACCGGCTGTTCTACATAGCAACGTAACTTAACGTTACATGGTGTTGACAAGACGGGAATATGACGGCAGACAAGACATCGCGAACAATGTTTCTATGTGCAGTTTGTCAACATATAACATTAGACGTCGTCTTTTTGTCTAATGACTGTACCTAACATTAGTCGTTTGCGGTCAAAACACTGGTGTAAACACAGTTTGATGTCGCGATTTTCAATGCCCAGAGCCTGTTAAACTTGAGCCAACCAACTCCGTGACGTCAACTGCACAATGGCGGCACCCTGGCGGCGAAAGATGCAAAGTTTTTTCTTTTTTTCTTCTAAATGTTTACATTTGTAATGTTTCTTATATAATTGTTGATTATATTGGAAATCCATCTTGTAAATCATGTAAACTTGATTCACTGCTTCATTTCCCCTTTAAGGAACTGTATAAGAAAAAATGTATATAGAATTATTGGAGCCAAATCGGTGATGTAATTTTTCTGAGTGACATGAATGAGATTTAAGAGCCTGAAGGAATAGTTTCATAGAATAACTGATTAAAAAACACAAGTACACAGTCAAACAAAACAAATTCACACAGAAAAGTTCATAGTAATAAAGTACTTGTAGTGTGGTGCCGGTAACTTCCTCCTGTAATTCAATGTAGCCTCTGAAATGTTCAGATGATTTTAGAAATGCAGTGGTTCTTCTGAGGAAACAAAAGAACAAAGTTGATTATATCCATTCACAACATAATAATTATTGGCCAGTAAAGGGCTTTAAAATGTTTTTTGAAAGAAATAGGGCACATGTAGTAGGCTAGCAGCTAAATAAACAAAAACAGACCAAACTAACGCCTATCCACTTGTTATTCATAACGCAAATGACGACAGTCGACAGCAGGAATTAGCTATTAATACGTTCAGCAATTTGAAGACACAGTTGTACAGAATACATTTAAGTGAATGACTAAAACAATCTAAGACAATAAGTCAATGATTTTCATTAATTCTTTAACGTTAGATTAGTTAGCGTCGCGGCTCAAACCTTCATACCACATAGGCTACTGTGCAATAAACGAGTGGTAAACTCTGCAAGAACGCGTGTTTTAGTTTATATATGTATGTTTTGAATATATAGTGAATAGACTCAGTATTTATATTTCTTTGGCGAGTTTACAAACCTTGTAACGGAGAGCCGAACAAACAGCTGAAGCTTTGATGAGAGGAGCCGTTACTTTCAAATCCGACGACGATCCGCTGATCTGTGTTGCGTGCGACGCGCGAGCAGCGCGAGGTTCACTGAAGCGATAACAGCAGATGAATAGCAGCAGTTTCGTTACAGAATAAAACTGTTCTCTTCCTTCTTCTTCTTCTTCTTCTTCTTCTTCTTCTTCTTCTTCTTCTTCTTCTTCTTCCTCATATTCATATTATCATTATAATTATTATTAGACATACTTACTATTTTTTGTCGTTGTTTAAGTTTTAAATGAATCAATAAAATAGGCAAATGCTAATTAAATGCAAGTATACTAGCTGCATCAGAAATATAATTTTCGAAATATATATATATATATATATATATATATATATATATATATACAGTATATATATATATATATATATATATTATATTATTATTATATTATTATTATTATTATTATTTTAATAATGGTATTATATAATAGTATTATTATAGGATAATAATTGTATTCTGGACTCACAGAACTATTAGGTTCCTCCAGATGCTGACTTTAACATAAGAGATCTTCCAGGAACCATTTAAATGTTAAAAGATCTTACAATAACCCTTTTATAGCATTCAAGTTCCTCTAATTTCCCCCAAAGCACTTCGAGGTCTCATGGTAGTGAAAAGGTACCTCCAGAACCTCTGAAATTTAATACAAAGTGCTTCAAGGATCCCATAAGTTCCAGCAAGAACCGCTAAGATTGTCAATGCTCCTCCAGTAACCCCAACTCTATGAGAAAGAGCTTTGAGGCACTTAAATTGTGTTTTTAGGTTCCTTGAGTATCCGACGGGATATTTGAGGCACCTTTAGTTTTTACAGTGTACTTAACAGGATCTAATGATGTACAACACTTATATGTAAAATCAAAATTAACAGTAATTTGAGTCTCTTATGCACTAAGGAAAAAGTGAGCTCATCGCGCTGGTGCGATAGTCGACCACAGAGGGTTAAAATACATTTTTAGTTAAAAAAATTTTTCTGTATAATAATAATTAATATATTTTTCATCAGATTAATTGACAAAAATAATCGGCAGATTAATTGATTGTGAAAATAATTGTTAGTTGCCAGAGTCTATGTAATTAATGGGAGAAACGGCAGATATTTTCACACTATTGTGGAGACCATGAGAACAGCTCCACCTGAAAGTTCATGCAAATCGATACCACAAACATGATGTCCTCTGCACTACTGACATCTATTATTTTCAGGGGCTGTGGCCTTGTTTAGTTAAATGAAACCTTTTAAAATGGCCTTGCTTAGCTTTTTTATCTGTGTTGTTTATTTATAAGTGATGCAGCTAGCTTTTGTTGAAAAAACGTTCTGGTTAATGTTTGTTTAGGGAATGTCAGATTTCCTGATCTGAGCGCACGGATAGAGCAGCTTTTTAGTATCTCATTGGCAGATTGTATGTTAGATTGAACACTTGTCATTTGTGTGTGTGAGAGAAGCTTTTTTCCCTTCCCCTTTTTTGTTGTTCTCTCCACCATGTAATTTAACACAGGTTCTGTCAGTTTACATTGATCTTTTAGATCCAGTGCATGCATATAACTAATGTGTAGTTAGCCGCATAAAAGGTATAGGAACCAAGCAAAGATCACTGCCATTATAGTCACTGAAGCTGTCAATTACAACGCAAGGTACACATAGCTGCATCATAGCTGCATTCATGCGAATAGTCCTGTTATAATCAGTGATGCCGTCTTTGCTGTGCAATGAATCTGTTAGTAACATTGTGTTTATACTTTGCTGGTTATAATGAAATGATTCACAAGCATGCAGAACTCATGCTAAACAAAAACTCTGACATTTTGAGCATTTTCAGAGATTCTGACTTAGGGCTGCATGAGAGAGAGAAAATTGGGGGGATGTAATTGTGAAATTTTGTTTCTGCGATATATATTGCGATAGGAAAACAATTTCACCTGATGATTTGAATAGCTCTTATTTGTAAAGAATTAATTTTTGTATAATAATTTGGGTGATTTTGTAGGAGAGTGCATAACTTTTTATTATCAAAATCATAAACAAATTGCAAGCATACATTTACTTTTAGTCATTTAGCAGACGCTTTTATCCAAAATCATTGGTCCAATCATCGGGTATCATCGGGTATCATTACTGCATGACCACAGATATCGGCACGCTAAATGATAGAAATGAAAGATATTTAATTTATTAAAATATTTTTAATGCAGGAACAACCTCTATATGGTGATATTTAAATGCCATGAATAATTTCAGACCATTTTTCCATTGATTTTTGTCTTTGGTTTTAACAGTTTCCGGTGCTTACACATAACTCAGGCATTCTCACACAGAAGAAAGCTCCATCAATGGGTGTTATTGATTTTTTTTTTTTTTTTTTTTTTTTTTTTTTATTTACCCAATAGCCTCAGCGGAGTGTGAGCTTGTCATGTGTATGGCTGAAGAAGCAATCACCAACGAAGAAGCAACGAGTGTTTGTGTACGTATGATCACAGATGTTCAGATAGATTAGTTGCGAGCTCTGCTTTGCATTCTTCCTGTCTCTCCTAGTTGATGATTCATTTGCTGATGGCTCAATCACGTAGACCGAGGAGAGAAAATCTGCTGGCTTTTTAAATCTCACAAGCTTGAATAACAGGTGAAATGAAACGGCTTTGCCGCCTCAAAGATTAGTCCAAACTCACCATGGTATGCTTGAAGCTAGATGCTGCTCACCTCTGATGAATTGCTGCAGTTGAATTTAAAGTTTTGTTATAAAATTAGTTGAAATATAGATTTTTCATGGTTAAAAAAATGTGTAATTTTACCATACCGCACCAAAACATTACCTTATCAGAATACTGTGCTTAAAAGGTGCTATTTGTAACTTTTCTTTATCCTTTTAAAATGAATCCTTTTTTTTTATTGCATGTGTGTGAAGGAGTTGTAATCACACATTAAAATGATCCACTTGTCAGGTTTTGCTATTAACCCTGAAAGCCGGTATTCCTATTTCTATGTGATGTCTCCAATTTCAAATCGGATTTTCTGCAAAAT